CGGCATTCCATTGTGCAAGTCTTCTGCAGAGCTTGGAAGTTCGATCCCCAGACAGACAAGGGGAAAAACAACCACCTGAAGATGCTCATGACAAAGTTCCTGCACCCTCAAAGTGCCAAGGGGGGGCACTCTCTGGAAACCAAAAACATCACTTGCCAAAGCAGGGCCATAAGAGCCAGGTGTGGTCTTTTCTTTCTGATTTTGTCATCATATGCTGCAATGAGGGCAACAATCACCCTGGTGCCACAAGCTTGCCAGCAGCAGAGCTGACAATGATTTCTAGCAGTGATGGGCAGCTGCAAAGACTTTACAAGTAGCGTCTGCCACAGACCAGATCCCCATTTGGGTTTGATTTGATTTGATTCTGCTTTCCAGACCCAAATGACAAGAAAAAATGTATTTCCCAGACATTTGAATCTGACAAATGGCTGTTTTTGCACTCAAATTGCGCCAAATCAAAGGGTCTTGCTATAGCCAGCCCTCTGCGACTAGGAGAAATTGCCAGCCCTGCCGCCCCCGCACAGCCCCCACATCCCCCTCAAGCCCTTTTCTTGATTTTACAATTCTTCATTTTCTTTCCATTTTGGGAGGAGACAAATTTCGAAAAAACAAACAGAAAAGGAAGGCATAAAGGAGCAAAGACCCACACTTCCTCTGCGTCACCCAACCCGAGCCGACCCTGGAAACTCAGGTCTTATGTTCGTCGAGGGCAAGTGCGCTTGTTGTGGCCTGGTAGATTGCAGTGGCTGCATTTTCGCTGCTGCTCCCGCGCTTCAACATGGTCAAAGTAACTGGGATCTCGTGTGATGGACTTTTGAGCCGAACACAATCTGCCATTTTGGACTCAACAGCTACTGCATACTTTCACTGAGCACAAACTTTTGTATGAAGTTCACTAGATCTCTGGTGGAAGGTGAATCGATTCCATAGTGACTGATCCAGCAGATGGGGCCAATGCATCCAAACAGCTTTTGGTGTCGATCTCGTTCTGGCCCTCTCCAAAGATGGTACTGTCCAGATTGATATCATCGTAAGTCTCTCCAGCATTAGTCTCTTCTCCAATACATCACTATAGTCTCTGTCAATCGTCATCGAAACAATCCAGGTTGCAACTGCAGCCGCTGTCGCGTATGGCGAGCATTGGATTGAAAGTCTGGCTTCTTGGCGCGTTGGCTTCGCCTGTGGGTCGGTTGATGCAGGTCTTCACTCCTTTATGCTTTCCTTTTCTGTCTGCTTTTTTGAAATTTGTCTCCTCCCAAAATGGAAAGAAAATAAAGAATTGAAAAATCAAGAAAAGGGCTGGAGGGGAATGTGGGGACTGTGCGGGGGTGGCAGGGCTGGCAATTTCTCCTAGTCGCAGAGGGCTGGCTAAAGCAAGACCCCCAAATCAAATGGAATTTCGATTTTTTACTTATAAAACCTGAATCAAATCGAATTCAAATCACTCAATACTGGAGAATTCATTTGATTCAAGTCTGATTCGAATTCAAATCAAACTCAAATTTATTTCAGATTTGACCTGGTTCAGTCTGTGGCAGACCCTATTCAGGGAAAAGGTACAGCCTGGAGGCCACCACCTTCCTTTGTTTACCTACAGGCTACCGCCACTGACCTGGGGGGTGGGTGGCAAAAGTTTGTCTCCTGCCCCAACCAAGAGCAACAAAATCTCTACAAACGCAAACAGCCTGAGTCAGCCATGAAGGATGTAACTGGATGTTGGACTGTGGACACAGTTTTTGCAGCCTAATGTTTTACTCCAAACGTTTGTACAAAGGTCCTTGCGCTTGCCACAAGATATCAGACAAATTGTTGCGGTTTCATGGTGTAGTTGGTTATCACATCTGTCTCACACGCAGGAGGTCCCGAGTTCGAACCTCGGTGAAACCATGCAGGAAGGGAGCGCAACTCCTGTTGACCTGTGCTGCACCAACTGTGGTGCAGCATAGTCTGCACCGTCTGTGGTGCACCGTCTGTAGTGCAGCACATGTGAACAGTGTTTGTGTGTGTTGGGCCTTGTCAAATTTCATTGGCTGACTGGTACCATTTGATGGTCCAAGTGGCCAAACCAACAGCCAATGGGTTCTTTGCCAAAACCAGCAATTCGCATTTGTTTGAACAAGCTGGAAAAAAGGTTCAACTTTCTGTTGAGTGTATGCTTTAGGCTTGTTCAGCTGAAAGATTGCAAATTTCTTTATTCAAATGTCTGGTTCCTGGCTGACAGACTGAGCAGAAAAAAAAAGAGATAAACAAAAAACTTAAGTCAGGTTGCAAATCCAGCATGGTGTGGGGGGTTGGACTGTGGAAGCCTGACCAAGACAGGCACTTTACCCCATGCAAAGTTGCGCTGTGCAGCATGTGCAACTTTTGCTATATTGATTGAAAAAAGTTTCCCCTCGTGCAAAAAAAAAGTGCAAACACTTGGGTTGCTGGGGTGGGATACTTGGCCTGCCAATTCCAACTGACCATTATCCTTCCTTTAGCTATCTAAATTCCAAACTGACAGCAAGCACAAGTTACAACAGACAGCATTGGTGGGCAAAGTCTCTTGCTCGAGTCCAGTTTGATTGGCAGGATCCTGATTGTTGCACCTTCATGCTGTTAATCCCCTTGCCATTGGTCCTCTTGAACACTAGCCACCTGCAGAACGGTAAGGGGGAGGGGAGTGAAATGAAAAGACAGAACACACCAACCAAAAAAAAAAAAAAACAGGAAACACGCAGGGGGCGAAAGTTGACAATCTTTCAGAGGTTGACAGTCTTTCAAAGGTTTGGTGTGGGCATATGGCGAAATGGTTACCGCGTTCGACTTCGGATCGAAAGATTGCAGGTTCGAGTCCTGCTATGCTCGTGGACTGTTGGAGATACTTGGATGTCTTCAGTTGCAGCAATAGAATCAGAGTTTTGCATGCACCAAGTCAAAAGCAGCTTTAAGTAAGCATACTTCCAGCCAAGCTCATGCTTGAATACTGCAGTTGCAGAGGATCTTGCTGTCTTGCTGTTGGGTAGTGTATGAAAAAAGGCTTCAGGGAGACCCAGTTGCAAACGCTTGTTTGCCTTAAGGGACTTGTCTCGGGTCCTGTTGGCGGAGTGGTTACCGCGGTGCCCTGCTAAGGCATTTCCCTTTGGGAGAGCAGGTTCGAATCCTGTGCAGGACGAAAGGGGGCTGAAAGGCAGCCTCGTTACTTCACTTTATTTTAATTTTCATTTATTTGTTTTCAGATTTTGGGAGTCAGGGCCAAACTGGGTCCGACGTCTGAATAACAATCTTGCAGGTGGGCCAGCTGACCTTGCCCACTTCTGAGACATACTGCAAAAGTTTGAGTGCGGCAAAGTTTCACTGAGGAGATGACAAGTCCAAGTCTACCTGACACAGTTGGGGGGGGTGCCAGTGAGACCTTTGGCGCCCTGGGGCACAAAAAAAAAAACAATGCTGTATCGTCTTGAGCCATTACGGTCAGATAGGAATGTCAGTGGTGGCGTGACGTCAACTCTCGGTTTTGCAGGAACACTGGCAGGGGATTTAGTCAAGTGGTATGATTTCTGCTTGGGTGCAGGAGGTCCCAGGTTCAATCCCCGGAATCCCCCGATATCTCACTGTCTCAGGCATGAAAGGTCCTCCAAAGTACTGGCTGGTCCCATGCATGATTGCTGTAGCAGTGTTTGTGGAGCCAGGGGACCAATGGGGACCTGAAAGGTCCAAAGAGCCAGGCATTCTGTGACTTGTTTTTCCCAGGTGCTGGACCCGCGTCAACCAGAACAGAAGCACAGGCATGCCAGCCCAAGCTCTCGTCATCAGAGTCAAACATTTGTGGCCTCTGTCAACAAGGCGGGTCAAGTCACAGAACTTGATCAAGTTGACAGATCCTTCAAGGGAGTTCATGTAGGCGCAGGTGCAGCTATGCGTGTGGGCTTACGTGTAGCTGTATGAGCAGGCACCTCCATGGTGCTTGCACAGGCACAGCGTCTGGCACAGCGTCCTGCTGATACCCAGAGTTGCTTCAGGATAAGGCTCGGCGGTTTGCTTAACCAGAGCTCTGACTTGCATTGATCTGCCCAGAAATATTCCAGTGAAAGCAAACCACATGAAACTTTCAAGCAATATATGCCACTGGGTGAAATTTTACATTGTTTTAAGCACCGTGCTGGCCTTAAACCAGTCGGATAAAGCACCAGTTTGGTCAAACCACTGAGCCCTTACTTCAGGATGGACCAGGAACCAGCTGCCGCTCATCAGCAATCTGCAGGTACAGGTAACGCGCTGAGGGTGGCAGCAGAGGGAGTTCAAGTGCAATCCAAGCAGCTACACAACAAAGCTGTTATTTGGTTGTACATTGAGGCTGCTATCAAGAGGTGAAACATACCAAGAAGTTTGTGTCTGTGCCAAGTCCAGGCTTGCGTACACACAGGTAAGGTTTCAGACTGTTGAGGAATCCTTGAGATACCACCTGAAACCCGGCCTAGATAAAGTCTGGCTTTTCCTGTTTTTGTCCCAGTACTGTCCCAGAACCAGCCATCACACAAGGCTTGGTCTTCACACACTGGCCCAAGGGGAATGTTGTTCTTGCCTCTTCAGCTTGATCTGGTGGTTCTTGCCTAAGAGGAATCATCTTCTCCCTCCTTGGTGGCCAGGGAGAACCACCTCAACAAACAAAGAACAATATGATGGCCCTGAGAGTTTTATTGAGGAAAGTAAGATAGAACATAGATAAAGAGAAAGGGATAGTGGAAGGGGTGGCAGTGTTTATAGCAGTCAAGGAGAAAAAGAAAAGACAATAAGAAAGAAAGAAGGAAAGCAAGAAAATGAAAACACAAAAGAATTAAAAAAAGGAGAAAAGGAAAGAAAAGAACAATTTGTAAGGCGACAGCCACACATTCAGCCACACCTCTCTCAAAGTCAGATATGGACAACAACTGACCCCTTCTAGTCCCATCCCCACATTAATTTTTTTGGTTCCTTTCCAAGGGCTTTGGTTGTGTCTTGTCATAACATGTAGCAGGTTTTGGAGAATCAGGGTATCGATCCCCCTGCCTCTCACATGCTAAGCGAGCGCTCTACCATTTGAGCTAATTCCCCGCTCCTATGAAATAAAGTTTACACAAAAACAAAAACTGCAGGAACAGGGAAGTAGACGATCAGGAGAGAGAGAAACTGACAAAAAAAAAAAAAAAAAAAAAAAAAAAAAAAAAAAAAAAACAAACAAACCAGTAATGAAAAGGTGCCTTAGCTTCCTGTTTGTTTCCCCCCCAGGCTGATTCCACTTTTTGCCGCCTTAGAAAGAGTGCTATTTTCATGAAAAAATTGTGCTGATAGTCTGACTTACCATCTAGAAAATTGAAACTTTACGTTGGTGCAGTTGTGCTGCATTGCCTTCTTCATCAAGGAGGAAGGCTACAAATGTTCTTACTTAACCACACAAATGCAGCTGTCTTAGCTCATCTGGGAGAGCGTAAGACTGAAGTGTCTTTGTGTAAAACACACCCAGAAAGGCCAAGTATTCACAATTTGTTCTCTTCCAAAATTCTGAAGATTCCACGTGTTTGCTACAAAGACAGGGAATTTGGGAAGGGACATACTCAATTTCTGGACCCTCTGGGTACTCTGCCAGAATGTGATCAATGCTGGAGTTGGAATGTTTGCAGTTGAGAATGTTGTTGAGAACATTGCAGATCTTTCTGGTGGAGAAAAGGTCTTAACGTGGTCGATGGTGGTGGTGGTGTCAGAACGCTTAAAAGAGCCAGTTGCAGAAAGCTGTGCGCAGTAGACTGCTTTGTGAAGGCGCTGAAGGAGTGGCCGCAGCCATACCGGAGCCGGTGAAGAGAAGGCACAGGGCATTCCAAGCAGTTGAAGCATTCCAAGAATCAGGGAGGAAGGAGTGGAGGGAGAGTGTTCCTTGGTGGAGCAGTTTCCAAAGGTTCTCCATTTTCTTACAAGCCTCAATATAAGGGGCAAGGCGCTGGTCAGTTTTGGCTGGAGGTGTGGAGGACCTGGAACAAGGGAGGCAGCATCAGGCAGTGCTGACAAGGAGCTCATGGAGGGAGGAAGAGAAAGCATCAAGGGAAATTGAGTGTACTGGAAAGCACGGCTAATGGACGGGAGCGTTGGGTGAGGAATATTCGTTCTGTTGGGGTAAGAGTGGAGTCAACGGCGTTTGTGAGACTATACTCACTCCTTTGACCCAGGGATCTGGGCCCTAGAGTGAGGAAAAACAAATAATAGGCTAAAACTAACTTAACTGGGCTGTTGTCTTGGGGGTTTTTCAACCCTACTACCTGCCTAGTCCACAAAGTATCTCTACTGATCTGTCTAACAGGAATCTCAAACACAAAGAATGAACATTCAGATGGACAATCCTCTGAGGGATTGGTGCAGGAGTACTGATTACTCATATGGCCTTGGGCTGGTGTGAGGGGAAATGGAAGGTCACTCCCGAGGGCGCAACACAACTGCAGAATAAAGAGAGAGAAGAGGGAAACAGGGGTTTTTATCGCAGGAACCTAATCTCAAATGCCATGGGAGCGGTTGATAGCGAAGGGACAGACAGGGCACAGCCTAGCGCCCCTTGTCGCAGGGGGTGCTGCAGGCGCCCTCGTCGTCACCAGCGACAAAGGGGAGAGAGAGAAGGAGTTGACTATGTAGGGGTCAGAAGGTTACCAGCAGGGAACTTGCACACGGAACACCTGTGATCGTACACACACCCTGCCGGCTGCATCAGCATGATCACTCAACCAACAGACTTATCACATCGCACTCGTACTCACACATCTCACTCTGACAGAAATAGGACCAAGGTAGGCACTTGTAGATCAAACTCTCAGGTGTTGGGGGCTGCGCAGAGCTTGGCTACTGTTGAGATTTGAGCCTAGGGAGCCAACTTCCTATGTTGACAGCGGCCTTGTTGCTGCTGCTGATGTGACTCACACTAAGTCAGGTAAGCTGAAAGGCCTAATCTGAATCCAACGAAAAGAGTTAGGTGAAGACGGTGGTGATTCTAGCTTTGCTTTCCTAGGCTTCACTGGCAAGGACAATGCGATTAGAATCACACTCAATGGGTCAGAGAAATGTTGAACCAGGGCAGCTCACAGCAGCTCCAGGTCACCTGACTTTTGTCTGAACCAAAGTTGGACCAGGGTGGCTCACAGCAGCTCCCAGGTCAGCTGACTGTTGTCTGACCAATGTTGAACCAGGGACTGGTTGATTTGAAAGGTCCCTGATGCTTTCAAATCATCTTTCCTCTGTGGGAGACTGGTCACTGCACACAGACCTCCGGACAGACCTTAATGTGGGAGGAGGTGAGGTGGTGGAGAAAGGTGTGGCAGTGGCGCTGTTGGGTGGTCGGTGTGCCAATTGGCGTTCTTTTCCTCCGTCTCATTTATCCCAAGGCCCCTCGTTGCGTCCGCCGGATTCAGCGTCAACGACAGCTCAAACAACGAACCCACTGTTTCACATCGTCCTCCACCCATCCCTACCCCCTCCTACGCCCCTCCTACCCCCACTACCCCCGCTAACCCCCAGAAGTGCATTGTTGGCACCATCACCCGTTCCTGTTTGAGTTGGGAAGACTCAACGCTCAAGTCCACCCCTTTGTCCTTTTCTTATTTCACCTTCAGTCTCCAATTCATTTTTCCTCCTCCTTTGCTCGCGTTTTCTCCTTTGAGGCGTCCTCCGTCATTATGGTGATGAATGGGACCTTATTTGCTCGCATCACCGTGTGGGTACGCTGTCACCATGTTACTTCATGAACTGAGCTTCTGCACCCCCAAATGGATGGCTGCGCCACAATCCGTAATGAACCTGACATCGCCAACCGATGCACCGTCCGCGGCGGGGTGGCCGCCGCCCCCGCCACAGCCTCATCCATCGCAGCGCTTCTCTTCCCCGCGGCTTCCCCTCGTAGCCGCGATCGCGATCGCAATCTGCGACTACATCGAGTTGCCGATCGATCGCTTTGCAGTCTCATCCCTCTCCCGCCTGCCCACCGTCCAGGCCGCGGCCCTGCTCCAGCTGCTGAAAGGCTCAGTCGACCCCGTCCGATCCGTCAGCGCCTTGGACTTTCTCTTCCACCACCTGCCCCGCCGTCGCTTCGAGGCGGCCTACACAGTCAACGCCATGAACTACCCGCACTCCGTCGAAATCCTCCAGTGGTGGAAGGCCAGCGGGCTGGAACTGCGCTACTCGAAATGGGCGATGCAGTCCGCCGGCAGGGTCGGAAACCTCCAGCTGCTGCAGTGGTGGAAGGACTCGGGGCTGCCGCTGAAGTACGAGGCGTTGGCACTGTCCATCGCGTCGGATAGGGGCCACGTCGCCGTGCTGCAGTGGTGGAAGGACTCGGGCCTCGCGTTGAAGGTCGACCGCCGCGCGCTCACCGCCGCCAGCCGGCGCGGCCACCTCGCCGTGCTGGACTGGTGGAAAGACAGCGGGTTTCTTCCAAAATCCGCGTCGGCCGACGCCGTCGACGCCGCCGTCCGCGCGCGTCAGCTCGCCAGCTTGGACTGGTGGCTGCGCTGCGGGCTCGACGTCGACTGCTGGGACCCGGACCCGTTCGTGCGCTGCACCGACATCGACGTGCTGGACTGGTGGAAAGAGTCTGGGATGTTTGCGCGGTGGACGAAGAGCAAACCAAACTTGGAGGAGGAGGTGTTCTGCTACGCGTACCCGGAGACCGTCCGAAAGTGGTGGCAGCGGGCACTGCGGGAAGCGGGGCTGGAGCTTTAGTTCACTGAGCCACTGAGCCCGTCAAAAAATATGCGGTGATTGAGGTGGAAAAAAAAAAAAAAAATTTTGAATAAAAATAGTGAATTGAGCTCGTCTGGTAGTCTCACCCAAGGAAACTCGTACTGGAGGTCTCACCATCCCCACACGCTGCTTGATGCGTTTAGGCTTATGTCATTTTTCATTTGCGTCCGGCCACTTTTCGGGACGTTTTGGAGCATGGTACGTCTTTTGCCAGTGCGTCACAGCCGTCAGCTTCCTGGCGAAGTCCCTCAACGAAAACCTTCGGTCTGTTTGCACGATGAAAACGAAAATTAAACTTTTGGGCCGCGGTAACTTCAAATAATACTCATAGAGGATCCACATCATTTCAAAAGCAGAAGCGGCAAGGCTCAATTCTGCTCCGCTGCCTGCTCGTTATATTGCTTTTAGCGAGGGGGGAACGCCAAAACGTGTTTTCATTGCGAAAAGCGGGTTACTATAATGAGCGGTTTTGGGTCCTCCCCTCGGAGTGCCCTGTTCTGGGAAGAGGTTTACTAATACAGCTGCTGACGATAGAAACGAGCTTTGCTTATTTATTCCGTACACTCCGTAAATGACGAAGCTCCTTGCTGCCCCTCGTCGCATTCCAATTCAAATTCACAACACATACCCTCCACCATTGACCTGCAATGCTCTTCAAGATCTACCTCAGTTTGATACCTCGTTTGTTCTAGGTGTTAAGCAGAACTTATTGGTTAGCAAGAGGCACAAGACCGACCTGAACCTATTGTGACTGTCAGTTATCGTTCTCACAATTCCCATGGGAGAGTGAGCCTGTGCCAATGCCGACCTGGGCGCTGACTTGTGCTGTTGACAAATACTCTGAGTATTAAGTAGCACCAGCTCTTCATCTACTTTGGCAACAAAGGGCGCCTCTCTCTCCCTTAACAAGAAAAAGGCTCACGCTCTCAAACAGCTCCACCCGCCGAAAGTCTGTTGGTGCCCTTTACACACGCCAGGTGCAACTGGCAACAATTTTGGTCGATTTTTCTTTCTTTTTTTTTTTCAGAGGCTGCTCAAGAGGAAAGATCGAAGCAAACTTCTTTTTTTATTTTTATTTTTATTTTTATTTTTTTTTGGTTTGTATTTTGGAGAACACGGTTTGCGCAATCGAGGGACGAACGATGATTGGTTTTGGATTGAGAGAGGCAGCATTGGAGAAGACACGCCCCATGTGATTTTGATTCGTCAGAGACAGAAAGACAGACTGGCAAGAGAGAGGACAGACAGACAGACAGGAAAAGTGGACAATAAGAACCGACACACAGGACGAGTTTTCGGAGAGGGCCTTCCAAATAAGGAGTGAGACATGCACATGTCGA